CGATCAGAGTGATACCACGGCCTCACAGAAAACCGGTGTTAAGCAATTCTTTCGTTGCCTTTCACTGAGTGAGTGAGGTTACCGGAGCCCAAATCCCCTCTCCCGCTGACTCGAGCGGGAGGGACTCCAAGGGTAGCAACGCACTTGTGACTTATAAGTTGCAGGTGTCCATGGGCGGTGGTAGTTGCTTACTATCAGGTGACCCGTCTGCTCGTTTACCCCCATATACCATAAAAATACTAAGTACATATATATATTACTTAAATTACACCCAGACAAAGAATATATAATTTCACACAGTAATTTGTTCTGGGTAGGAATCGAACCTCGACCTCTGGTTTAGCAGTCAGTATCACCAACCACTAGATATGCCACAGATATTATTAGAAATGCCACAAATAGTGGTTTGGCAGAATAACGAATATTCAGCGAGTCTCTTTGCCAAAGCGCCGAATATTCGGCAGATGATTGTTCGCCAACACTTAGTACCTTTCTCGTGTTTAGTACCTAAATCACTAAAATTGGTAAGCAAACGCAAAACAATATCCTAACCTAACATTTATCATTTGATTTATTTATCATCTCCCCAAAGCCGTATATACAGTGAGCGGCTTTTTTCCGAAGCAGGTATGAGGAAAAGTTATTGGTAAAATTAAAATCTTTTTGGGTAATATCTTTCATTCTTTTTCTCGTGAATGTGTTCTGCCGAATATTTAGGAATATTCGGTCAAATACCGAATAGTGGCCGATGAATAGCCGAATATCGAATAGTCGCGGCATTCGTGGCATCTCTTGTATGTATGTGTGTTAACTTACATATATACTGTGAATACACCCTTTACTTTCTGCTAATTAATTCACTGGCAAAAATGACCTCAAAATTAAAATAAAATCATGGCTACTAACGCTCGACTATACACAAACCGAAAACTTGGTACAACGAGCACGCCCATCATACACACACACACACACACACGCACACACACACACATATATACACACCCACTCAAACACACACACACACACACACACTCTTAACTTTATTCTTATAGTATAGTTGGTACAACAATATGGTTGAAGACACTGTTTCCTCCAACACAGGTTGTAAACCTACCATAGGAATCAGGGTGTTAATGTATTGTGACAATGGCTATATCAATAAAAAAAACTTATTATTATTATTACTTTCTACTGTACTGTTACTGTTTACAACAAGTCTTCGTATTATACAAGTGCCTTAGTTTCACAGTTGTCACAAATCCCCAACTAATCTCTATGACGAGTGATTCTTTGCAATATAATCTGGAAGCCGCACTAATGCTAAGAGAATGTAAACGCAACGCGACTAGGTCAGTCTTTCATACAATACTGAAATAAATAAATAACTCTTTAGTATTATTATTTATGATAAATTCCATAGTATAACAGCTTTAAACTATGTAAGTTTTATCAAAATGGTGGGAGGATTGGTTATTTTAATTTTGTCATTCAAAAATAATAATACAAGAAGCTAATTCTTCCCACACGACTAAGACTGTAACTTCTGTAAGCTAGGATCAACACCCAGTAATGACACTCGGGAAGTCGAAGGAAAAGTTAATCTGTCTTGGAACTCGCTTCGTAATTAATCAGAAGTAATTTGGAGGAGTTGGAAATATAGTAAATCCACTTCACTCTGATCCAGCAGTGACTTCACTCTTTAGGAAAGCGGGAGATAAAATAAATAAAATACCTAGGAATAATAATAATTCGTAGTAAATGGGGCCTAGTTAGGTGCGGCGTCGATCTGGGGGACCTGAAATCACATGGCCCGGGTTCTCCCCAAAGCAGGGCGCCTAAGGCTGGCCGTGGTTTTTAGGGAAGCACATTGGATACAAAAACAGTATGTGTCCTAAGTGAGCTAGTTAGTATTTAATAACATTATCTTTTCAAATGATAGGGCTGCTACGTTATAAGGGTACGCGACCTTGACCTCTTTGAGCTGCTGAAGATAGATAGATAACAGAACAGAATATAGAAGGAGTTTGTATACATTTGTACGAGTCAGAATCTCATAATCTAATCTCAGAGTCTTATAATATTAGAACAAACACAAAGAAAGTAAAACTAGTTATATAAAAAAGTTGTACAATTGGCGGCCTTCCTTCGAGGCAACCAATGGATGGAGAAGAAATTGAGGATGACATGGGTAGTTGCAATTTTACAATACGATACAAGATATAAGACTAACAAGTATAATTTTTTACATATCACACTCAACACACACATATGACGTGAGAGAGCCATGCTTCGGCACGAATAAGCCGGCTTGACCGGAGTGATACCACGGCCTCACAAAAAACCGGTGTTAAGCAATTCTTTCATTGCTTTTCAGTAGTGAGTTGCAAGTAAGTGAGGTTAGCGGAGCCCAAATCCCCCTCCCGCTGACTCGAGCGGGAGGGACTCCAAGGACGGCAACGCACTTGTGACTATTGATGGTGTTTATGGGCGGCGGTAGTTGCTTACCATCAGGTGACCCGTCTGCTCGTTTGCCCCCTAAACCATAAAAAAATATATATGTACTGTGGTACTATAGTAATTATATAATTATGTTTATACGAATTAATGCACTCACGATAGGTGCTGAGGTTAGGTAATACACCTTAAAATTGGCTGACGTTTCGAACTGGTTCTAAAATCCTATAGTCTTAGTTTCATTAGTACGTCGTTGACTCAACAATTTGGTAGGGGAAATTAGATTGAAAGAACGAACGGCGAATAAGATTAGCCACTAACTGGCTTAAATGGCTTAGTTTGTTGATGTGGATGGCTCAAACGTAATGGTGGAAGCCGATCCATATCAACCACCGTACAAAGTCCATATCCGATAACAAATCTACATTTCTTAATTTATTCTTAGACAGGTAATAATGAAGTAACTTGATTAAATATATTTTTCTTGATTTTAAATTTTTATTTTAAAATGTATAGATAATTCACCACAGTTCTTATTAATGTATTTTTTGCACTATAATTCCACATAGTTTAGTTATATATAGTAAAATCTAAGCCACGTATTAGAGTTCCAAAGATGGCGAGATATAATTGAATTAAATGAAATGCCATTACTACTATCCGTGTGGTGACGGATCAAGAATACGTAATGTCACCACCCCTATTCATCCCGTGGGTGTCGTAAAAGTCGACTAACGGAGAAAACCACGAAAGACAATAGCAGCCTGGTATAGTAGGCCAAAACCTCCTTTCAGAGGAGAGGCCTATGTCCAGCAGTGGACTATCATAGGCTGTTGATGTGATGATGATGTGTGATGAATTGAATTAAATACAAATTAGTCAAATACAACAAACACCCTGCTGTTAAAACTCCTGAGCCTTAAGTCCTTAATAATTATTTACAAGACATAAATTAAACACAAAGACAATAAAGAAACCAATCAATAAATAATATGACGAGCCTGTTGGGCCAGTGGTTAGTGACCCTGACTGCTAAGCCGGAGGTCGTGGGTTCGATTCCCATCCAAGACAAATATCGTGTGATGAGCACGATCATTTGTGCTGTGTCTGGTTTTAATTTATCTATAATATGTATGTATCTATACAAATAAAAAACTGTCTGTTTGTAATGTCAAAATATGTATTAGGTTATTTTCATGCTCACACGGTTTTTTACACGATACTTACCTACGTCTAAAAAACAGTTTCAATTTTTTTGTCTGCCTTTTTGTTCCGGGTAATCTTGAAAACGGCTGGAACGATTTTAATAATATTTTACTACCAGATTGCTGCCTATATAAGGAGTAACTTAGGCTTAAATGTTGTCCGGTCCGGGAATCGAACCCGAGACCTCATGGACTGCAGTTGCGTACCGTACTACACCACTAAGGCAGCAAGCAAATTCCTAGCGAACGAAGTCGCGGGTACCAGCTAGTTTAAAAACAAAACCAAATAAATGAATTTAGATTATTAAAGGCTATTGATATGATAATTTAGTTAAATTCAAGTATGTTAATCATCAGCCTGGTAACCAAAGCACAGGCTCTGCTTTCTTTGAGATCAGACTGTTGTGTGTGATATGTGCGAAGTTTTTTTTTTTCTTTTAAAAAGACAACTCCGCACTAGGAATAAATCCTGTGTCGCGGGGGACTTTACAAACATACATGAAACGGACACAAAGTACACCCAGACTCAGAACAACAATTTGTGGATCACATAAACTGTTGTCCCATGTGGGGTTTGAACCTACAACACTCGGCGTAATAGGAAGCGGCGTGGCGACCGCTTAAACCACTACGCCATCCGTGCAGTCAATTATTATTATTATTATTAGTAGTACCTGACCGGGATGACCGTGGTATTTTTTTTTTGGTAAATTTTCAAAAAATGACACCTAGCTAGATCGATTAATCGCGCCCGAAACCCATCGCATACTAAATTTCATGAAAATCGTTAGAGCCGTTTCCGAGATTCAGATTATATATTTATCTTATACATAAAATTCTCGTGTCACAATGTTCGTTCCCGTACTGCTTCGAAACGGCTGGACCGATTTTTATGAAATTTTGTGTGCACATCGGGTAGGTCTGAGAATCGGCCAACATCTATTTTTCATACCCCTAAATGACAAGGGTGACCCACCCCTTTTTTTTTTCCCGTTCGGAAATCCCCTCGGATACCACCTATCGGTGGCATGTCGGACTCGAACCGGCTAAAACCACGCGCCGTCTCGGGTACTAATAGCCGGGGAACCAGGTATACCCTAGAAAGGAAGTCCCTGGTGACCCAACCCTAATATTTTTTTCAATATATCCTAAAAATAATGTATATGGCAAAACAACGTTTGCCGGGTCGGCTAGTATATACATATATATATATTTAAGAATTGCTCGTTTAAAGGTATTAGATATGAGAATCGTTTGTCCACAGTGTTAGTGGGAGTGAGCATGAGGGTTGCGCGGACGCAGCGCGGCTAGGCGGCGCTGACCGCTCGCGACGACCACCTAATGGGCAAGACGTCCGGCGGACGACTTGACGCTGGAGTGCGCGCGCACAGGATCACTAATAGAAGGTACATTTATGAAGAGATTCTCAAGATATAATATTATTTTATTTGATTAAATTTTTAAATATATTACAAAAGAAAAAAAAACATTTAAAATATAAAAAGTAGTAGGCCACCGACATTGGGTACATACCTGTAGTGGTGCACATTACCACCGGTAGCGGGGATCCTGTACGAGGTCAGTGGTCCTCGGGATCCCAAGCAAGTCGTGGCCGGCCTCTCCCCTGCCGACGTACAGGGCCTCAATTCTGCTATTTCATGTTTACGCCAAGCCAGTGTCATACCACTGACACGCTATTGAGATGCCATCGAGTGGCCATTGGCATCGGTATAAATATCGGTAGTTGAAAATATATTACGTTTTTTGAGGAAATTATTTATTTATTTTTATTATATCAGTGGTTATGACACTGGCTTGGCGTGAACATAAAATAGCAGAATTGAGGCCCAGGTGTTGGCGACGTCCGACATGCCACCGGCAGGTGGTATCCGAAGGGATTTCCGCACGAAAAAAAAAAAGAAAGGTGTTGGCGACGTCGGCGGAGAGAAAAACTCTTTAGTTTATTATTATTATTACCTAATCGTATTTGTATTACGGTATGTATGTGCGTATTAAGAATCTTCTTGCGAGAACCTTTATTTCTCTTATGCTATATATCTCTCTCCTATACCTCTCCTATATATTTCTTCTCCTATACACACCCGGCTGGACAACGTGGTATAGTAGGCCAAAATTATATTTCTATAGAGAGGCCTATGTCCAGCAGTGGACCATTAAAGGCTGTAGATGATGATGAATTCTCTTATTTTACTGCAAATTTGTTTACCTTCTCCTCTACATCCTATCTCCTAAGTTCAATGGAATATCCGTTCAGCTTAGGATATTTAAAGTCACCTTTTTAATAAGTTTGCCCACAGTCATAACTTACGACTACTTGTCTTATGACTCAAGTATGAACGGTATAAAAAAAAACACTCCACGTTTATGAGTATATTCTCAAAGGCCACGATACTGGAAATACATTCTTATACACATTCATAAGAAAACAATATAATATTATTCGTATTTTCAGCCATTTAATCGGTTTTCATGATATACTTACATATACTTATTTCACAGAAAAATATTATCCCAATTGATTTGTTCAAGAATAGTTTAACTCTCGTAGAAACTAAAAATAAACACATTATCTATTAACAAAGAAAAGTAAATTATACAAGTCAGAAGACATTTGACCGAGTTCCAAATATACATGTGACTCACAATGTCATTCAAACAGACAAAGACTTCAGTCAGTTGTATGGTAGCAGTTGTTCAAGCATCCATCTTCAAACGCGGGTTTGTGTGTTACGTTTGACGAGGTAAACACCTGTATTTATTTATCAGCCTCTACAAGATTGAACAATGCTCAGTAAATGACCACTTAGGCCTGAGTTTATTTTTCCATTAAACAATGAACGCGTTTCCTTTGAAACCAAAGAAATGGGTTTTGGTAATATAAATAATTAGGAGTACCCCAAGGTTGCTTACTGGGTTCAAGTCTTTTGTACAAACACATGAGCCTTTATAAAATGTATTTGATTATTGGATGAAAACGGTACACAGTACGATATATTTAATTAGTAACCAAACATAAAGTGGGATTAAAAGCAGTCTGCAGCGCATCTATCACACAAGTTCGGAACAATTTGGACCGTTGCCAATGTTGGTTTTTTGTCAATATTGTCGTCTGAATGGCTTTTTCTTTCATAATGAGGGGCAAATGTGTGCGGTTAAGATTATCTTGCCTAGACATCAAATATTATAGTTTCATTAGTTTATAAAGAGATGAAATGATCGTCTTTTACTTGTTCATACGTGTACACATGTATAGTTTATTATAATATATAAATACCGGTCGGTACTGGAAAATATTGTACCTTCTTTAAAACAATATAGGTATATTTTGGAATGAGATTTGATATTGGCTTCTCCTTAGAGAGGTGATTTTGGCCTACTATAAAACGGTGGCCAGGGTTGGTATTTATTTTTTATTTATTTATTTATACTTTAAGCACAAATGTGACACAGGCGGACTTAATGCCGTAGGCATTTTCTACGAGTCGACCTTAGGGCGAGGCAGAGTTAAAAAAATGGTAGATGCACAGAAATTAGAAATGTGATTTAAAAGAAAAAAAATATATTTAAAAAATAGGTATAGGGTATGTTTCAAGATTTCCTTCTCTTAGTAGTGCTGTTGTCCTGCGTACTTTGTTTCCTTAGTCGGCTCTTACAACCCACGGGATAAATAGGGGTGATGACACTCCGTATTCTTAATCCGTCACTACACGGTTGTAATAATAGACACAGAATAACTTTGTTTTTCTTTAGTCTCTCTTATGTGTGTGATTTTATTGTTCATCTAATATAAATGATTGAAACAAAGACTTAAGCTCTATAACAATAATTAGGTATCAAACAAACAACAAACATTACAACAAATAAGAGCGATAAAACTACAAAAATTATAGTCACGAAACACGATCAGTATTGAATGAAATTGTTTTTCCGTCGGCTGTTCACAAACTGCTCGATTCACTCCATTCTACTTCATATGGCACAGATAAAATATAAGCTATACAACGATGTCTATTTATAATTATATGTTTTGTTATTTTTTTTAAATCTTATTATTTCTATGTTTATTAGTAAGGTTAGGACACAAATTTTGTGAATTACACAATAGCCATAGTCATGAGTCTCTTTCGTTTGCTTTCGTATTCTATTGCCCTCGTTGTACATTGGTTATTTATGCAATAGACTACTTTTCATGAATTAATATACTTTTTTATGCATGTGTCTGGTATTTTGGTACTTCTCGTAGATAATCTTACTTTTTCGTTGTTTTGTGCAGAGATTCGATAGTTTCGTGGGGCAGACGGGGCCGCTGCGCAGGCGGGCGCACGGGCGGCGTGTCCGCGACCGCAGGAGCGGGCGCGGGCGCGGGCGCGGCCGCGTGGCGGAGGCGCGAGCGCGCCCCGCAACCGCGTAGGCCCATGGAGATCCTCACCAGCATCTACGCGTTGCTGTCTGGCGGGGTGAGTAACCTTCGTACCTCCTCCTTAACTTATCTCCTATTTTTCACATTTACATTATGTCGTACATTACGAGTACATCAGAATGTATAATGGTGATTTTACTTCAGTCCTTCATCAAAATGCTGTAATGAAGCCTCACTATCTAAAAATTTCATTCTCATTGAATTTTTCGTCGGCTGCTATTCCTTTAGAAATGTTTAATTCGATAGGGAAATGAAATTGACACTGCACTAATGAGTTGCACTATTTTATGATAAACGATATACATAACTAAAATCGTGTTTGTATTCATTTGTATTGCGTTTGTATTCATTCAAATACAGGCAACCACAAGTGACACAACTTTACCTTACTTTTACCTTCGCGGGCGTCCCTCAAACACCCTACCAAAGTTTCATCAAAATCTGATCAATGACTTCGGAACGCGAAGACAAACATACAAACAATTATTCTTATTTATAAAGATAATTGAGGCAATAGAACCTATCGGATACTTGATGTACAAAAGTTTGAACATTAGCTAATCTTGTTTCTTTTTCCTTGAACTGAAGTAATTATCACCAAAATCATTTAAAACATCGACAAATCGAGTCAGTTCATTGTGTTTGATACGTTCATATTTTGACTATTGATCATAACTATTTTGAAACACAAAAGAAAAAAGTAAGTACCTAAAATAATGTCAAATTAACATTATTTAAAAAGATACCCTTAATGCTGATTACGTATTATTATTACCTATGTAATATAATATTATCTATTTTAAAGTCTTAAAACAATTTGAGACAAAATTTTACAAACATTTTCGAAATGCATGCATTATTAGGTATGTATATTTAAAATTAAATTGCAATGCAGACAACGTGGTTCTATCGAAAGGCTTTCCAATTTACTGAGACTTCACTTTGAATATTTAAAATGTCCACTTAGTACTGCATTTTAATCTTACTGTTACTATTTATAAGAGCTATTTTTCTATATATACAGCAAGGGGTAAACCCGAAGATTGATTCTGTTGCATTTCGACTGCACTGCGGTGCTACAACTGCTGCTCTGTTAGCGGCTAGCGCTGCACTCACAACACGCCATCTAGTGGGCAATCCCATTGACTGTATACATACGAGGTAAACATCATCTTAAGCTAGTTTGTAGTTCACGTAGTTTGATATAAAAATAACAGATGGCGTTGTCATAAACTTTAGTTAAATAAATAATGGTTTTATGATTTTTGAGTCACTAAAACCGTTTTGTTATGAATTATGACTATGACATTAGCTGTGTTATACATAATCTGTATCTGTAAATAGGTGGGCAGATATAATTTATCCATGATATTCTTCACGATGAACACATTTTGTTAGAAATTTGTGCCAATTGTTGTTATTATTTCAGCTAATAGTTTTATTGTCACAATAAAGTACAAGACGTGTATTTCTACGAAAATATGTTTGATTTATATACTTAGCAGATTAATTTAGATAGATACCTGCTAATCGTACTGCCCACTTTGTGAAATACTTACGTTTCAAACATTTTCGTGGTTATAATATGAAATATTAGGAGAATTTGTGGTTGTACTTCAATCCATTTAACTTTATATTAAAAAATACATGTGAGATTTTTCGTCCAGCACATGAAGTTCTGGACTGGACAAACCAGCAGTTTTTTTAACTAACCCTCCCTGGGTTAGCTAAAAAAACTGCTGGCTTGTTGAAATACTTGAACTATTTTAGCCAGAGAATTTAAAAAAAATCATTTATACGACTTTATTGTGGAATTAGAAGCAGATTGGGAATTCCAATTTTTTATTTTAAATTTAGGTTCTTCTAAAATAAATAAAGTTTAGAAATGTATACAAATTCATAGGAAAAAAATGGTGTTATGAACACGATCATTTTGTTCTGTATTGGACTGCAGTTAATCTATAATATGTATGTATTTAGTTAATATATTACATTTGTATTTGCGGTCTGGTTGCCATAGTATGGGCTCTACCAAATTTGAATCATATGCAGGATATGTCGAGTCATATTATATTGATACTAGCTGACCCGGCAAAATCGGTTTAGCCGTTTCGGAAGAGTTCAACTTCTAACACCGTGACACGAGAATTTTATATATAAGATTTGTTAACTCAAAACACTCCACGGACATACAAAATTACAGGTAATACTTATACGTTATCCAGGGACATCCCTGAGGATGTATTGAACACATACTGCTGGATCCACTCGACCTTCACGGTAGCCGGTGAAGCGGGCGCTTACCCAGGAGTCAGGAGCGCGGGACAAGCACCACGCCGCTACGGGAAGTACTACCAATGGGTCGCGTTCACGCTCTTCTTTCAGGTGAGTGCACATCATGAGATCATTCACCTCTAGCATATTATTGCTAGCATTAACAGTGTTTTGTTTCGAATCGAGAAGGTCGTTTACAAACTGAAGATGGATTGGAGTTATAAAGGCTTCATTAAGGATGAGATCACAGCAAAAGAAGGTTCTTGTTGCCGATTTGAGACGCCTCAGTTATTAAACTAAAAAAAGAATAAGGTAAACCATTCGACGCGTACTTTTAATGCAACAGAATTGTTTTATTTATGCTAAAAACGGTAGGTAAGACCGTTTTCACTAAGTCTGTTTTCTACAAAAAGTCAATCCATGTGTGCAAATATTTGAGTTAATTGTTTTTAAGTAAAAAAAATCAAAGGCTAGAAAATTACTCGTAGTATAGGTAAGACAAGTCAAAGCCATATAGGAGAAGAAGAAGAAAGCCAAACAGCCTTGGCTCTGAATTGAAACACTTCATCATATATTTGTAGATTTTTCTAGGCAAGCACGAGGTTTATAGGAATTTTCTTTATAGGGTGCACCTGAGGCCTCGGTAAAAATTTGATGAACACTGTATTGTTTTAATCGGTCAAACATACTACCTTACTGTCTGTCCCCGGTGATAGCTCGTCAAAGTGTCCACACGCTTAAAAATAGGCATAGGTATCCAATGTTATCAGTCTCGACGAAAGCATTTCTTGACAACGGCTTTGTGTGAGGCCGTGCTAAGATGGCCCAAATGTGTCCGAAGCCCAGATCTTAAAAAATAAAAACACAATAATAGGTTATTTTTTTGTGTTTCAAAAAACTTAACATTGCAAAATAAGCCAGTATATGTAAGCCAATATATGTAAAAATACAACGAAAAATTTCACTACCTTAAGAAAAAACTATGCTAATAGGCCTTCTCTGACCATTGCTATTCTATTTTAAATGCGCGCGAAATTCTGTCCACCATTTTAATTAAAATTTTCTTTCCGATGTTGAATTTTCGCTTGTTTTCTTGGTCTCTAAACTATGGCGACTATATAAACACTAGGACGGTCAAGTTTTGTCAAGTTTCTTTATTCTTAAATTCTAATAGCATTACATTAATTTTACATTTCTAAGAAAAATAAAAATCTTTTTGCGTGCTATTCGGGTAAACCGGACCCGCGTGTTATAATGGCAAACGCAAATGACCTATCCCATTTCTGCGGCCTCAATACTTATTTAATACATACTTATGGTTACTTCTGAACTTTCGCGTTCCATCCATATATACACAATTAGTAATTTGGTATTAGAAATTAATAAAATTGTCTTAAAAGTAGTTTGAACTAGGTTCCACTAACCGTGATCACATCCTGATAAAGGCCCGGTCTAAATATATTCATTATTATTGAAATGACATAACTATTTTGATTTGTATTTTTTTCGTGCGTCTACTAAGGGTCCCTGTCAATCAAGTGAGAAGAAACCTTAAGAAATTCAGTAAGGATGTTGTACAATTAAGGTTAAATTACAATTAACACATTATTTGTTGAAAAGAACGATCAAGTCATTTCACAGCTAAGCAGCCTTCACATGTAAAACATCGTGAAAGCTAGAGTAACCATTTTTGCTTTATTTTATTATTGTTTTATTCTTAACTGTCTAACTGGCCCGTAGCTTTGTTCTCGTGATTATTTTCAAAGACCTTACCACACATTCCATACCATAAACGGATTTTCATAAAATCGTACATCCCTTATTTTACCCCCTTAGGGGTGAAATTGCCAAAAATCCTGTCTTAGAGGGTGCTCAAACATTAAAAGCATCAGCTGCCAAAATTTCAAGTTTGTAACCCCAGCGGTTTAGGCTCTGCGTTGTCAATCGTAAGAGCCGACTAAGGGAGTAAACTACGCAGGAGAACAGCACTGCAAAGAGAAGGAAAAATTGTCAAAACCAACCCATCTGGCCAGCGTGGTATAGTAGGCCGAAACCTTTCTAAGGAGAGGCCTATGTCCAGCAGTGGACTATTAAAGGCTGTTGATTTGATGAAGTCCGTATAGTGACGGATTAAGAACACGGAATGTCACTACCCCAATTCAACCCGTGGGTGTCGTAAGAGTCCACTAAGGGCGCAAAAAAACGCAGGACACTAGCAATGCAAATAGAAGGAAAACTTGATACAAACCCGATACCAACCCGTCTGGCCAGCGTGGTATAGTAGGCCAAAACCTTTCTAAGGAGAGGCATATGTCCAGCAGTGGACTATTAAAAGCTGTTGATGTGATGATGATGTGATGTGGTCAATCAGATCTATTCACTTTACATGTATAGATAATATACAGATTGACCTTTTGATCTTGACGAGTAATATCTAAGAGTGAATTATCAAAAAGTAATTTCAGTGATAATAAAAGCAAATATTAGAAAATAATGTTGATAAACGAGCAATAAGCCTAAGTGGGGCGAGTCACTAATCTATGGTATGGCATAGACTAAGTATATAGACTCAATAGAGTTTACCTCACTGTAAACGATTGTAGTGCAGTCATCGTGAATTGGCTACTTGGTGGGCCTCGGGATTAGATATCACGCTATTATGATACAGTGCGTGTGCTAAAAATTGGACACTGAACTTTTATAAGTTTAACTTCATTTGAGCTTATACGACTGCACGTATAGTGTAGTGGTTTAAACGGTCACCTCGCCGCTGGCATACTGCGCTGGGTGATGTGGGTTCGATCCCCACATGGAACAATACTTTATGTGATCCACAAATTGTTGTTACGAGTTTGAGTTTTCTTTGTGTCCGTCACTTGAATGTTTATAACGTTCTCCGCGACACAGGATATATTCCTAGTGCTGCATTTGTCTTTTAAAAAAATAAAGAAATAGAGCTTCTCAGCAATGGACATAATCTGCACAGATGGCGTAGTGGTTTAAGCGGTCGCCACGCCGCTTACTAGTACGCTAAGTACTGTGGTCCGATCCCCACATGGAACGACACTTTGTGTTATCGACAAATTGTTGTTGTGAGTCTGGGTGTTCTTTGTGTCCATTTCTTGTATGTTTGTAAAGTCCCCCGCGACACAGGGTATACTTATTAGTAATGAGGGAGTTGTCTTTTTGATATAAATGTAACGGAGTTTTTTTGGCAGTTATTCTTAGAAGTATCTACGTGTCAGAACAGGCAACCAGCTTCAAGGCTGGCTTGCCTGTCGGTCTATTTGTCAGTAACCTGATTGATAAGCCAGAGGTGGTGGGTATGTGATGATCATTTGGTCTGTGTCTGGGTATAATTTTTCCATAATATGAATGTATTAGAAATTAAAAAAATATGTTTATTAGTAGTCTGGTAGCATAGTACAGGCACAACCTAGTTTAAAATCAGACGGCCGTGTGAGAGATGTGTCAGGTTATTATTCCTTATACCTACTGAAAACTCTTGGTGATTCCACAAAGTTTATAAGTGGTTTAATCGATTTGAATGAAATTAATTTTAAAATTTATAAAAATAAATAAGTAGATAATAAGCCTAGTGTCAGTTGTATAAGCAATAACTTTAATTTTACTTCAGTTTAAGAAATAAAATATAAGATAATTAAAAGAATCTCTGCAGGTCAACTGTGATTAAATTAAACGTTACATTTTTTAAAACACCTATTTAAGGAATTAAGCTACAAAGGCAATAGTTCTTTGCTACGGATATGCTACGGCGTAGCATATTTGTAGACCTTTACAGATTATGATGTGTGTGTATTGTTATTTCATCACCATCATCATATTGACTATTTTTTATTTATTTATACATCTTTATTGTACACCACTACAGTATATATCTACATTTTGGTATTACAATAAGCGGTCTTACAGCTCACGGCGATCTCTTACAGACAACCTTTACACGGATATTGTTTAATCTGATTTGGAGTAGTCTATGGTGTACTTTATAACATTTTAGAAAAATAATATATTTAAAAGTAAACATACTAAATACGCACACAATATACATACTATTAACACATATAAATTCATAAATTAAAAAACTATTTGTGTACTAACCTTTGTATGTATTTATTATACATACAAAGGTTAGTACACAAATAGTTTTTAACCTGTGACACATCACATTTTTGTGTGTATAGAACATATTAAGTTCAATCCTTGATAAATATATCAGCAGTGGCCAATTTTAATGAAAGGCAGTGCAGCGTTAGAATCAATGGCGATAACAGAAAAGGATTGTGTGCGGAACGACGCGTGGCTTCAGTCCAAGCCTTTATTTTTCACTAGCATTCTTGCCTGACTTCACTTGAATAGAATATATCTGTTTGAAGTTTAAATAAATGAATAATAATAACCAGACACATCTCACACGCGACCGTCTGATCCCAAACTAGGCAGAACCTGTACTATGATAACCAGACTGCTGATAAACATACTTATATATATCTGAATACATATATATTACAGATAAATTACACCCAGACACAGAACAAACGATCGTGCTCATCACGCAATATAGTCTAAATATATAGAAAATACAGATAAATTACACCCTGTTTTTTTTTTTTTTTTCCGTGCGGAAATCCCCTCGGATACCACCTGTCGGTGGCATGTCGGACTCGAACCGACTAAAACCGCACGCCGTCGCCGGGTACTAATAGCCGGGGAACCAGGTATACCCTAGAAAAATAAATTACACCCTGACGTAAAATCTTTAAATCTTTTAAATCTTTTTTTTAAATCTTAACTTAACAGATGATTATGAGAAAATAACACACAATTTTTTGTCTTGGGTGGAAATCGAACCCACGATCACTGTCTCAACAGTCTGCTAATTAATATACCAACGGACTAGTCTCAGTTGTAATTTACGAATGTGATTGATTTTTGATTACGAAGTTGATTATGAATTAAAAATTTCAGTTCGTCTAAATTGTAAAAAGAATCGGGCAAATTGCACTGGGGGCAAACCAGCAGACGGCTCACCTGATTATAGGTGACTAGCGCCGACCCCGGACACCTATAGGTCAAGGGACACAAGTCCATTACAGTCGGTTTTTGAGTACTCTTTGTCGAGGGTGGGAGGTCTCTGGTGTCAAGCAGAGGGTACCGAAGTATGCCTTCCCACAGCTAAATAATAATCTATGTACATAAAAGCCAATTTTAAAATTCATTTTCAAGTTCTTTTCGTATATCCAAACATGATCTTGCAGTAAAAATAGTGTGTATTTGTG